TAATTGAAGGATTGGAATTGAGATACTTATCCTAAAAAAGATTCAATTTTTTTTTAAACAAATCCTTGAGATTTTGCTTTTTTAAAGTGTTAATAATATAATCAACGATATCGTTTTGGGCAAGCGTTTTTTTTACTTCCATATTCTTCTAAATATTGTATACTATAGAATAGCTTTCATTTAAAAATTTGTAAATAACATTTAGCTTGATGAATCCTAAATGAAAATCAGAATTGATAAGATTGATAACGAATACTTTAATTAAGATTTCTTAAATATTGACTTAAAGAATATCAGTATTACACTCAAAGGAAAGTATATCTTTGCAATCTATTTCCGATTATAGATTCTTAATATATTAATAGTATTTTTGAATAGATTTGCTTTTCTCTTAAGTTAAAAAGCTTATAGTATTAAAAACCATTTGTATCGAATCTTCATCTTTCTTGTTCGAAAAGCAGTTAATAAAAATAGTAATAAATTTGTTTTATAAAGCCTTACTTGCTAAATTAATATTATTTATAATCTCAGAAAACTCTCTATCTTTATCTAGTTATTCATTAGCTTTATTGATGAATTTAAATAAAACGAGATTGAAAAAGATATATAGCTTATAAATATTATTATTAATAACAAGATATATAATTTATTTGGCTTTCCGAACCTATGATTTAATAGTATTCTTTTTTTCTAAGAAAAATAATATATTATCAACCTTGACTTTAGCCCATTTAATATAAGCTATTAAGACAATAAAGTTATTCGATATTATAGAAAGATTCAGCGGATAGTATATCAAAAGGATTTCTTGAATTTGAAGAATAGAAAGTTGAAGTTGTAGTTTGATAAATAATAGGATTAGGTTTTCGGAAGGGTTTCATATATCCTCTAACAATTACTAAATGAATGGGAGATAAAGGTTTCATTCTTCGGAATTAAAATAAGGATAATATTGAAAAAATCAAATAATAGTTTGGATTTGCTCGAAAGGGATAATACTGGTATCATCCAGAATGAGATTGAAAACCTGCGTTATAGATTTCCAAAATCAAAAGTAATATTAAAAAAATATTTTAAAAATCAAAAGGAATTCGTATTCTAATAATAAAATAACATTAAATCCTTATAAGAAATATTATAGAAATGAATATATAAAATATTTCTAAAAAAAGAGATATTTAAAAAAATAAAAAAAAAAAAAAATAAAAAAGAATTATTCAAATACTGGATTTCCGTAACTATATAATAATCCTCCAAATCAATAAGATTATATAATATCTATAGCTCTTTTGAAAGCTCTTTTGATATTAGTATATTAATCGTCATACAAATACTACTGTGCGACGGGATGCGAAGACTCAACACCTGTACGCGGTGCATCCTACGAACCTCCAGCTCTCTCTTGAGAGTCTGCAGAGCTAAGATTGAGTCGCAGATGGAATTGGAAGAATTGGAAGGAGAGTGGTTCAGAGATATAGCGAAGGATTATATTACGATTTTACGACAGCAATACCTACGAAGAGTTGAATACCAGCTTTAGACGCGGATACGAAGGTTACGGAAGCCCCGGTTAGATTCAACATCTACCATCGATTACTATTTCAAGTACAGAAATATGATACGCAGTAGGTCTCTTCTTTTAGAAGAGTCTTTTCGATATAGAGCTTGCCGCCGCTCTACTCGTACTACAACCCTTTTTTATACCCTTTGGCTTTCAGCCACTCGAATACTACGACGACACAATACAGAGAATGCCATCGCCTTCAAATTAATACCATGCTCTGGGCATCGATACAATACAACGTTTTTCTTTTAATTTTCGAATTTTCGAATTTTCCGAATTGATTTGTGTGTGGGCAATAGGGCTTAGGATTCGGCCCTGCCCCACTATTTTCAACAGTTTCGACTATACACATCTAATAAGAGCTGGAGGATATCAAGCTTATGAAGATATACAAGGGGCTAGTTTAAAAGAGATAAAGACAGAGAAGAGTGGTGCCTTCTTCTGCTACCTCACTAGCAAGAGGACCCTTTGCTATATTGGAGGCAACTCGGGAGGGGATAACTCTTGCCTTTTATAGAAAGGGAGGGATAGCAAATTGGATTTAGGATTTTAAAAAGAGAAATTGGATATTGGGATGCTTTAATTGGATTAGGGGTAGGGGAAGAGTGAGGAAGGAAGTGTCTCAGAGGATGAAGACTATTTAATCTCTATTTGCACTCCGAATAGAGATCGGGCATAGCACCCCAGCATTCGTTTTTACTCCCCCAAATTGAATATATCTACTGTAGATATCCACTAGCAGTTGTTAGGTTCTTAAAGCCTAGCCGTCCTAAATAGTCTTGGACTGAGAAAAGGACGTTAATTAAATCAATCAATCAATCAATCAATCAACTACTGTGCGACAAATTTAGAGATAAAGAGGGTTTCTAAATATTCTTAATTAAAAGGTTTAATTGCGAAGAGAATAGAGATAAGATATTGAACGTATTTTGAATCCCTATATAGGTTATCAGAAAAGATGTATAGAATAGGTAGATTTATTGATATTAAGTATAATACATATTCTCTTGAAAGCTATGTATAATCCAGTTGACTATATCAATCAAGATGATTACGTAATACGCCTAATGCGTTTAGCCTGCTTTCTGGAGTGTATCTGCATCTTACCTAGACCTATTTCGTACCCCTGACCCCCACTTTGATTAACAATCGGTGAATCCTTCCTGCTTACTAACATATGTCCGAGAACCAAAACTCTCCGTACAATAGATGAAGGTTACAAGAGTTCTCCGAAGCTTCACAATCTTTCTCCTCACACTTTTGTCTTCAAGTCACTCTTCAAAATATGGAGTCGAACCAGTTCCACCGTGAAAAATTCACGTGTAGTATTTGTGAAAAAGACTGTGGTAATAGTGAGTCAACTCCTTTATTAAAGATTGCAAGAAACATTAAGCTGAGTAGGTATGCAGAGAAATCTAAACTTCGTCATATCTCATACTGCAAAAAAGTCAAATCTCGTGGTGGTATAAGATCAAGGAAGCGTGCTTGCTCAGCTTGTACCAAAGCCAAGACGCAATGCGATTTGATACATCCAAGCTGTTCACGATGTCTAAAGAAGAACTTAAGCTGTATCTATCAGGGACCTCAGTTGCCGAAAGGAAAGGTTCTAGAGCCAGAAGTAAATAATCATGCCGATACTGGTGCGGATCAGACCGAAGAAGTATCTTCGATTTTATCTTCGTCGCAAGACGTCACAGCAACGGTCTGGCCGGATATCCATGAAGCCAGCATGATTTCAAGTCCATTGCAAATTTCGGATGTTATCGCCGAGGATACCTTGAATCTCGAAATTCCGAATGAAAACTGGAACCTCGACATTGAAGAATTTATTTCGGAACATGTGGACATTTCAGTTTTCAGCAAACCTACAAGATATTCCCCACAACTGTTACCAATGGATCCGTCCCCTATTTCCGCGAGCTATCAACCGAAAGATAGTGGTCCATATCACAGACTATACAATCAACCGGTACCCAGCGCCCCAAAAGCATTTGCACCTCGAAAATTGTCCAACAATCAATTTTCCTTGAACAGAAGTTACATACTATGCACTTTACCAACATATCCCTCAATGTTACTCCCTAGTAATGACGATGGACTCCCGCCATTTATCCATCCTCATTTCAACAGTCGTAAAGCGCTTCCAGCACCGCTCGCTACATGTGTTTCCCTCATACAATGGATAAGTGTAAAGAACAAGGATAACATTTTGTTTATTTGGGGGTGCATTAGGATGGAGATTGATAGAATATGTGCCCAGGTTTGTTCACAAATAAACTTTAAATTGGGTGTACTCTGAATGAGGGAAATGCTAGTATAAAACATATAACATTGAAGATTCCGTCGCTGCTCTTCATGCCATTACGATTTATTTCCTCCTTCGAATTTCGGAAGATAATGAGAAGGCAACAAATTCTGATGTTCCATTAATTTCCACAATGGTCGTAAGTAAACCTCACTTGCATTCTTGATATTCGCGACGCTCTCGTACCGTCACACTAACGAAACAATAGAAAGTTGCAATGCACGTTGCTCACCTGGCAGAAGACCTCCAAAACGAGGGTGTTCCATCGTGGAAAGAATGGGCGATGGCCGAATCCATACGCCGGTAAGTATTTCAACTGTTTCCGATATCGAGTTGACGATAAACCTACCACAGTAGAAGTTTGTTTCGCTAACTCGACTACATCATGCCCAGCACAATTATAACACTGTTCTTCATCGACCTATTCTTTGACGTCTCTTCTTCAGTCCCGGAATATCGCTGCAACGGAAATCGCCTACAGTATATGACTTTACCCTGTTCTCGCAAACTCTGGAGAGCGACTACAAATGAAGCGTGGGAAAATGAGTATGCAAATTCAATAAGAGGCGTACAGCTTACGTATGGAGATCTGATAATTTCTCGAACTAATCCTGAGGATCGGACATTAGATGGGTGGTTGTCTCAGTTGGATGAATTTGGAATGCTGGTTTTGGCTGCGGCGAGTTTGGCTTCATGAGCAGTGTGAAAGAAGAAATATGTGAGGATGAGAGAGAGAGTGGGGGATTTGCAAAGGATAGGAACATTGGAATAAAACTTAAAATACTCAGTGAAAAGACTACGCAGTATTGGTCTCTAAATTTATCTATTACTCTTACATTCTCACGTAAAGCGTTGTCGACATTCTATCTATCGAGTCACCATGTTTGCACACTTAAAATAAATATAATCTCGAGGAATGGTTGAGATCTCCACTTGCAAGAGAATGATTAGCCGTGAAATTGTTCAAAGTTAATAAAGCTACCCATCACTCAATCCATGACAATCTAGCTGTCCAGCTCAGCAACCTTTAACAAGCGCGACCATGCACCCAACTGATCTATTGTGTTTCTCGCTAGTCTAATCTGGCGACTTCCGACTCTTAGAAGCATAAACTACATTTGTCGCTAGGCTTCATAGTTGTTGAATGCCCATGCCCTCTTTAAATTCTATGGTACGGGACTCGTCTTGGTCATCTTCGAATGCAAATACACCCAAATAAAATAGTTCAAGCATACCAGCACTTGCCTGAGCTGTATTAAAAGGCGTGCCTTTCATATTAATTTCATCTGTTAGACGCAGCAGTTCTGTGGTAACCTTCCGATTGTTCTTAATGCGCTCCAATACTCTCATGCTTCCTAATAATCGTTTGTAGTTTGCGACGACTACAAAAGCATCAGGTGAGTATTTAGCTGTTCCTCTGATCTCCTTGAAAACTGGACATTCAAGGATTTTCGAAGATATATGGTTATGATACTCGCAGCAGGTTGTTGATGAACTGTTCCAATTCTCGATAATTTGTGGTTCCGAAATCAATGGGTTGATTTTATAATTGTTGGCAACTGGAACTCCAGGAAATAAGCTTCCCCAATGTTCCAGTTGGTCCGGAGGAAAAGGTTCGAGATACAACTTTGCCAGCTTCGAGGGTTTGGATTGAGATGCGAGCACTACCATCGAGTTCAAAAACCGGATGAAGTAACGCAAAGGTCCTGGAAGCTCTTCTATACCTCCTAATTCATCATATGAAGCTGAGAATGTTTCCTCGATACGTGCAATCCATTGGGGCTGTACAAGTCTGACATGTCCGTCCTTGATTCTGAACCATGTAATAAGGTAGTTCGTAACAAAGTCTTGTAGAACCAAAGCACAATACTTATGAGCCAAACAATACAGCTCCACCCTAGTATTAACGGACGAATAGGAAGTGTTTTCATCTGCCATATTGATTCGATTTGTATAACACCATTCGACCAATAACTCGAATGCGTTGAAGTTATCCTCCGGTAAGTCTATAACCTTGGAGGTTGCCTCACTAAAGTTACCCCGAAGCATGGCGTCGAAAACTTCCAGCTTTTCGCAAATGACATTTTTGTGCACTTGAATAGGCTTAAGTTTATCACCTACTCGGAAGGTGATGAGTTCATCGCCAAGAAATCTGTTAAGAAACAAAGTTAGTTTATTTCACATGATACTAGCAATGATCATGGGTGAGTATGCTGAGACTTACTTTGAAAAGTGTTTGGCCTGTTTTGATATGGGTGAAGGGTTTGCGCCATTGGCAATTTTTCTTCTAGTACTACGTTGACAGGAGGACATGGCGAGGATATATGCCCAAAGTGCTGGAATTAGATGAAATTTGCCACTAGAGGAATCGGTTCGCGACGAGAGTGAGGTCAATTGTAAAGGGAATCAAGAAGACGCCGTGCTTTCAAATGGTAATTCGACAAATTTTGGTATTTATTTGATTAAAAAGTCGATGATCTTGAAGTGGGCGTTTATGAAGTGGAAGTTCCGAGATTATCGAATGTTGTGAAAAGGGAGATGTAAGAAGAACTTTAAATAACTGAGGTTGTGATACAATGGCCGTATAGAATACGTAGAGTGAAGATCGGATGCCGTATTTTCATCTGTAACTGTTGTGAAGTTCAAACCAAAGACCGTACATGATGGCCTCGGTATGACTATTATTTCAGTCGCGCACTGAAGAAGCCATTGTTTGCGACTAGTAGAATATTGGAATGATACAATAACCTCATGTTACCCAACCGGCGTGAGAGGCAGTGAATTACAAGTGATAAGCACTGAAATTTAAAATTGATGAACGTTGAGAATGAACAAATTTGCAGTTTTGGCTTCGTTATCATCAAGATTATACGGCCCCTCTTCTGTAGATTTGATGTGTTGTTCTCCTAACGAGCTGAACTAATGACAATTGTCAAGGCACCAAATTTATGGATACCATCAGCCATAGAATATCAGATTGACAAGCACACTAATGATCTCAAAAAAGCTTTCGTTTGCTTTCTTTGCTGCCAGCCACCAGGGCTTTGAAGATGATGACCCAAGGTTGATGGAATTGTAATGGAGCTGTGCATATGGGCTTATTGGGAAAAGAAACTAATGCCGATATGCCAACTAATTGAGAATAGCCTCACTTGAGGACTCTTGTACTCACTATAGCGCCTGCTCTTCCACCTGTTCCCAATTTAAAATGTTCATAGGTTACATGAAAAAATTACAACTTTGTACTGCCAATGCTCAAGTAATGTGCTCTAGTCGATCAATCGATTCAACAAGTAGGAAAAGGAATGAGAAGCATAAATTTCAATGGATTTAATATCCTGATTGATGTTGCTATGAGTAGACATTTTGACAAGGTGCAAATTTTCTTAAATGTATTCGAATTTCTCGAAGAATTGATGTTAAGGTAGAAATGGCACTTGGATGCTTGGATTGAAGAGAAGAGAGCATGTAAAGTGGGGTCGCGCTAGCGGCCGTCTCACCGAGAGATGCATGGTCAATGTTCAGTTTGTGGACCGGACCGGACTGACAACTTTGACATTTGACATCTCTCCATCTACACCAACCTCAAGTTATTCTGGCTGTTTTTGATACTCTCACTGTAAGAAGGTCGTGTGTCTTTGCTTTTGAATAAATTCAGATGATAGTCTGATATTTCATGAGTTAGCAGACCCAGATCCATATCTTCCTATCTACAAGTTGGATGACTACTGCATCCCATCAAGTTTGAACTCAAACCATGTCTCATCAAAGTAGTCGACCTGAATATGGTGCATCAAATTCATCGCATACTTCACAATTTTCACACAGAGCATTCGGATTACTGTCGCGCCATCACCGGCCTCAGATTCTTCATACAGTTTCAGTTCCTTGCTGGTGAAGCTAGCGGTCAGACCTCCCTACCACATCTCTGCCCACTATCGCATGTTTCGCCTTCCATGGAAAGTTTCTACTTTATTCTTCATCATGCATAGTAATAATACCATTCACGGTCTTAAAGGCTTATGGTAGCGTCATCTATCATGTCTGATATGCGAGGTGCGGGTAGATCTGATTGAAGTACGTTTTTGTTTCCTCTAGATACCTGGGTAGTCAGCCCTGTGAGCTATGTCGATGCCGCTTAGACGATAATCGGCTCGGATGGCAGAAGATTCAAGTTAGTCTCAGTGACAAGATCAAAAGTTGCTATTCTGAGGTTACCCCTGCTCCGTTTGCAAAGATCTAAGGTTTACCTCGCGCATCGCTTCCGTCGCTGTGTAGTAGAAGTCCAAATTGCATAACAGCTCCAGTTCAATCGTCTGATTGTTTTAACTTCCAAAACAACTAGTATATCCCAAATTCGCAATCATATCTGAATCAGATCAATTTCAATATTCGGAAAGAACTTGAGGTGAGCATTCCCGTTACAAAATCATCCCATGAAACAAAGCTTAAGTTAGGTGTTGTACAAACAGCCAATCGGATATAATTCTGGGAATATAAGTTGGGAGGTCTAAGGGCTGATCAAGAAGAATCGGACGCAAATCCAAGTGGAGTTCTTCCAAGCCTTGATGTCGGTGCTCCACATTGGCGTATATATACAATCTGCGGGGAAGCATCATTTCTTCCTTCATCAACCACTTTCTCTAATCATTTTCATCTGATCGCAACTTTGGTCACTTTCTCCAAGTTGACAACACATTCATTTCATATATCAAAACATTCTTTCCACGTTGATCGTGTAACACATCTTCTTTATTTTTCTTTTTTTCACGCGCAGGACGAATAGCGAACACTATCTTTGACCTGATCAATTAAACATTATTACCCAATTATAACCATGAAGTTTACAGCAATCTCAACTTTCCTACTTGCGGGTCTTGCATTCTCAGGCAGCGCATTAGGCTATACATCTCGTCATGTGCATCGTCGTGCATTAGGACCACGTGCGAGTAATATTGCTCGATCTCCGTAAGCCATCACTAATGGATATCAAATGATGTGTAAATTGACTTTTAAACAGAGAGATTGTCAACTTGAACAATGCTCCAGTACCCACCTCTCTCGCATTTTTCCCTCGCCAGAATAACACCAATAATGGCGCCACCGCACCCAACATTAACGCACAATTAACCTTGACTGCCGTTCCCGCCAACACCACCACGGTTTTAGTCTCTTCAACCTCAACAGGTCCCGCCCCAACCGGAACCGCAGCGGCTGTGGGAGGCATTCAACCTCCAAATGTCGAAACTACAACTGATTCAGACAGACCATTCTCGGTGAACGGAAATACATTTACGGATATTGAGGATGCTGTTGATAGGTCATGTGCAATTCAGCATAATGCTTGCGCGGATGCGATTAATAATGGGAATTTGTCCGGTGTGGAAATTAGTGATTGTGATGATCAGCTTTCAAAGTGTGTTGCGGCTGGTTAGAGGTGAACCCTTAGTTGGTTGCGAAGTGGAGTGGAGTAAAGAGGGAGAAAGGATCTGGAGTTATAATAGTTGAGCTATCACTCTTTAGTTTCCCTTCAATAATGACCTCGATATATTCCTCGAATGCCAGTGCAGTTGTCTTACCAAAAATGGATGTACAAATTACAACACGCTCAACTGAACCTATATGTCTCACTTCAATCATCCGGAATAGGAAGTCGGCGGCCAGGCTCCTAGTATCCCAGGAAGTGAATCGAGCATTGTTCAGATAAGAAAGCCAGTTGATTTAATTCCCATGCTCATTAGGGAGATCATTACCATCATCTAGGCACGATTTTGCACGATATTGCGTCTCTCTGGAGGCTTTTTCCAGATTAGGGTTTGATTGTTCGGGGTCGGAACTGTAATCAAGTATTAATGAGAGATCGACAGATTCATGTTCTGGTACTCATGAAAGCTTCATTCATCCATGGTTACAAAATCGAGTAGTATCACCAATTCTCTCGTTGTATGGATGTGAAACTCGACGATTTTGTCATTTAGAATGTTGTAAGACCTGGCGACAAATATTTCAAACCTAGAGTAATTTGTTGGAAAGCTTTGGATTGATTTTGCACAAAGAAAAGATTGTTAATCAAGTTTTTTCCATGGATCTAGAACGAATGCAGAAAGTTAAAATTTGAGGTAATGGCAATCTGGATGTCGAGGATTTTTGGACCTAGCAGAACAGATCTTCGACTTCATGATAGGGGTCATGAGGCCCTGACTACACTTAACCTTGCTCACATTGATTGCACGGCACCGTGTAATTTTTGTTAAATGCCTTGAAACTCAATTCATTACAATCACAAATTTCCCGCCCTTTGTTTGCGATGCTTTTTCATACGCTTCAACACCATTTTCAATCCCAATCTCTGTCCATGATTCTTCTTCTGCCCCTTTCAACGACCCTTCTTCGAATTTACTCGTCAGTTCTTTTAATTGAAACGCAAGTTCCTCGACACCATATGCCAATGTATTGCACCCTACCAATGACTTTTCCCCTCGATAGAAACTCAACATATCTAATGTCAATCCCGTATCAGCGCCACCCCTTGGTGATGCGATAAATGCCAATCTACCTCCTCTGGCAAGCTTATTAACAGCAGCCTGTACAAGAGCAGGTTGACCCACAGTATCCGCCACAACATCCACACCTTTTCCGTCCGTTAAATTATCAACGGCATTGAGTTCTGGATCATTCGCAGTATTGACGTCATCCTTATCGCTTCTAGTAGCAGATATGACCTGGCAGCCCATCCCCTTCGCCAATTGAACTATTGCCGAGCCAACAGCACCATTTGCGCCCGTCACCAATACCGACTCGTCTTTCTTGGCATGTGCCCGCGAAAGAACAAGGCTTGCAGTCGTGAACGGAACGCCAACACAAGCTGCCTGAGTAAATGAGAGATTTGATGGCTTCGGCGCGACGGCATTTTCGGGAACGAGACAATATTCGGCTTGGAATCCATCCTTGGTAAAGGCGATTGTGTTTCCACTGGTACCATAGACTTCCTGACCAATGCGATCAGATGGGCCTTCCACCACAATTCCCGAAAAATCTCGGCCTGGAATTCGGGGAAATGTGGTATATGGGAAACCGCCCTTGGCATTGAGGAGGTCGCTTGGATGAATTGCCGAAGCGTGGACTTTGATGATGAGGTGGTTTGGTATCAATGTAGGTCTTGGGACATTCTGGAGGACCAACTTAGGTGCTGCTGCTGAATCATGGCGGAGAAGCCGCAGGGCTTTCATTGTGGTACTCATGATTTTTGAGTTTAATTCGAGTTGGTTGGATGTGAAATGTGATTAATACTGGAATGAAAATACAAGAAAGTAATGCTTTTGATGTGCTTTATATAGAGGCTCCGAAATCCCGCAGCTTGATTATTAAGAAGCTACTAATCGCCCGAAATACCCCATTCTTTGTGATTTGACTTTCCAAGGTGCATTAGACAAGTCTTAGACAAAAATTAATTGTGATAACAAACGTTAGACACTTGGTGCTGATATTCTCAACTGTTTCTCTTCATCGGAGATTTGTCTGGGTAGAAATCGGGTGTGGAAGGTTACGGAACGTTAACCCCTTTCCGCAATACCCGCAAATAAATGAAGGGGTACTCGGGTAGGTGCACGGTGACGGTAAGTAGGTATTCAGGGTTGTAAATAACACATCACATTCATTCTAATCACTCATGTTATTGATTATTTGAAGGTATCGACTGAATATTGATCTGCTAATAGAGATTAACAAACATTCCATAGCGTGTTAGCATCCATACCCCTGATTCCTAACCTTCCTATCATTAAGCGTCTATGACGCTATAGAAATACCAGATATAGAGTTCTTTGCAAAGGTTCTGCTTGTGACTGAATGTCACATAATCTTACTTCACTCCATCTACACTACCTCAGTCACCCGTTAACCACAAGACCCTGAAACTAAACCGGGGAAAGGAGAAGCCAAACTGCAGAAAGACCAGCACGAACAGGACCAGGGCCTCCCTCTCTAAACTCAATAGCTCCCCCGTCCTTTTCATCATCCTCCATCATATCCTTTTCTCCTTCCATATCATCTCGGGGATCCTGAAATCCAGTAATACCAAGAGCCTCGAAACCAAGCTCTTCAATTGTCTGAGCGGATGTGTTAATATCATGCTCTAAGTTCAAATGCTCCATGTTCCCATTTATCTTCTGGTGAGAAGAAGTAGATGGGATGAAAGCCGCAGCAAGAGCGAGAGCTTCGGCCATGCTGATCTTGGGTGCGATGCAGGTGGGCTTGCTCGACTCAGGATTTGTCGGCGTACTACTTGGGGCAGGGTAGAAGCCTGAGATACTGAATGTTCTATAGTAGGCGTGATTGCATGTTCTGATAGAACAGACATGTTCATCTTTGGGTGTATCTTTTGGCTCCACCGTAGAAGGTTTCTTGATGGGTTTGGAATCCGCCGGACTATTATTGAAGCGATAGAAGCCTGAAATACTGAATTGTTGGTAGTAAGCATGACTGTATGAGTGGACAGGACAAGTATGTTCATGACCAGTCTTCTTGGCCTTGATTTCTTCTTGTTTAGGACCAGTCTTCTTGACCTGTTCGTCCTCTTTGGGAAGTCCCTTGGTTGGTGGTGGAGGAGTGCAGACAATGGGGTAGAAGCCAGAAATGCTGTAGCTTTGGTAGTAAGCATGATTTCGGGTGGTAATGTTAGAGTTATCAATGCCTGTGGAAGAATCGCCAGTTTTTGGAGTTTCTTTTGGTTTAGGAGCTATATAGCTCGGGCTGCAATAGTTTCTTGAGTGAGCTTGTCTGAAGTTTCCACCCATACCGGTAGGTGTGTTGAAGGATTTACGAGCGGTGATAGAGCGTTGAATTAGAGCTCTTTGCAAGACAACATTGTGGAAAGGTAAAGACTTCATAACTAGATATCTTCTGCTGATCGACTGGGGTGAAATGCCGTTCATGTTGAGAGACATGTCGGTGACTTTGGTAGATTTATTGTTTATTGATCGAAATGTTGTGATCCTTTCTTGGTGCCAGAATGTCAAGGAATTGTAGTGTTATACAAAAGAACAAGAACTCACGATTAGGTTGTTGTCTTGTAGACTTTATAGAGATGTGAAGTTGAAAGGAATATGATTGTCATTTTTCGAGCTAACTGCTACAGCTTCCTTTCTACGGCTTCATCAAGACTAGAGAGTGATTGGAAACTTATAAAAATCTTGTACCATAATGAATAATGTGTTAAAAAGCTGATTTTGTTGTGGCACTTTGTGTTTTAGTTGGATGGAGTGAAAAACATAGGAGTAATGATCATTCACTGCATCGCCTGATGTGGAGTAAAAAAGTTCATTTTCAGAGGAAAGCTTTTGATCAGATTACAAAAATACCCAAAAGCAACCAAAAGCAACACAGTCTAGTATCATGTAGCAAAGAAGAGTTGCAGAGGTCAATTGGTGTAAATTGAACCATAAAAGAAAGGATGGATGAAAAAAAAGGCTTCTGGGTACCTACGTAGTCACTGCAGTTTGGCATAGACTTTCACATTGACTTTGACAGTGAATTACATTTAGGTGACATGATGTGATACGGTAGTTCTCACAATAACCAGCACAGCTCAGATAATTCAGCTCCCTCCCTCGTGAATGAATGAAAATCGATCAATTAGTCAGCAATTTGTTCTAGTCTATACCCAATGCGCTCGCTCAATATCCTCCTCCGCAAACCAACAAAGTATCCGCAAACAATTTCTTCCAAAGCTAAGTTGACGCTCAATAATAACCAACACCAATGGTATAAACACAATAACAAGCAATGTGTGCAAAGAAAACAATAATAACGCCCAACATCCAGCCAAAATTACAAAATTCGCTATCCGCTAGCCATTTAGCAACAAACAAAAAAACAGAAAGCATTATATTCCAAACATGTATCGCAGAAGAGAACTGTCTGTCGACTTCCAATATCCCCAACACCACAGTCTAATATTCGTCCGCGGAAAAGTGATTCGGTTTGCTCGCTTGGTCGTCTAGATAGATCAAAGTTGGTATCTCCCACTTCGGGCAATACTTTTCCTGAAAGTCTTCCGCCATTTTCTGATAAGTATTATCGATAAGTTTGAAATTTACCATCTTCTGAGCATCAGTCTCTGTCTGATTACCGTCTTTGGTGCGCGAGGATATATCCTTTCCGGTGGTGGGTACAGAGATAGTCTGCAACTCTGACATTGTCGAGAGGATCGTAAAGAATTGATGAGTGCGACGTTCGAGTTGTTCGATGAGGAAATTATCGATTCCAAGAAATCTGCGGAAGAAGAATCCATTGAGTACGAGGTGGGTAACTTTCAGAGAAGATAGCGGACTGCTTTCTCCGAAGTCTAACCATGCAGGCCAGAACTGAAGGGGGAAAAATAAGTGTAGGGTGTCGGATCGCTTGTTGAAGGAGAAGGATCCAAACATCGCTGATTTGCTCATGTGGTGTTGAGCTTCCTTCCTCGCTTCATGATTAACGAGAAGGGCAGGGATGCTTGGAGCTTCAAAGACACCTTTCATCGGATAGAGTCCACCATTATTCTTCACCTGAACAGCAACGTCTTTTTGAAAGTAAGCTGCCATATCATGCTTCTGATCTCCAGATGAAGTTTTTCAAAGAGGTGAAACTCGGTAAGTGGTTTGGTTGCTTCTCCGGTGGAATTCAATGACATGACTTTTTTTACTTCATTGGTCGTACGTTTCATCTTGAAGGAGTCTTCAGAAGTCAGTGAACTTCTTCTTTTAACTCCCCGTCCTCCGCCTGAACCATTCATATCGCTAGATTCCTGGAAGAACATTTGCAGATATTGATGTGTCTAAATTGATGGTTTCAAGTGATGAATTTGGAAGGTATTCGTAAGGTGTGGAAGGTATTCGGAAGATGTCGAAGAGATGTGAATGAAGGTCGCAAAACATAAGTGTAAAGATTAGATTAAAGATTATGTGTGTTGTTACTTGCTATCAGAGATATTAATGAGTATAAGTGCAGGATGCAGTATTAGGAATTGTTGTCTAAGATATCAGAGATATTCGAACAAAGTGTAGGTGAGTGCAGATGGTAAACTGGGAACTGGAAAGATCAGAAAGAAGATGAAATGGCAGGGGGGTAGAATTCATATTTATAGGTTCTCGAGGAACTAGATCCACATATCCATAGTAAAATTCTACCTCCCAAGTACGTACCATTTCATGTCCCAATGCTTAATTCCTTACTATAGTCTTTTCTTGGTACATGATTCCAGCTGAGGAAAGAGCTAATTCCAGCTCTAACTGTCTGTCACATATAATTATAATTTCTTGGTATAAGCTATTTCATACCACCATCATACTCTTTCACACAATTCTATTTTTTCACACAATTATACGCAAGTCAATTCATGTAATATTTCGCAATCTATACACAATTAGCCCTAATAGTGGGACGATTCGACTTTAGAGCCGAGCTTTCGATGACTAGTACTATTATTAGTACTTGCTAGTACATGCTAGTCCAAACTCATTCTAGAACCCCCCTCCCCCACAGTTTTCTCTTTGGCAGCTTTCAACGACAAAGGTTTTATGAATCGCTATCTCTTGATAAATTGTTCAAAGCTATCATTCATTTCAGGCCACTTCATGAGAAATGATTTTGGGCGTGATAACATTCCGATACATTAAGCAACCTTTCTGGTTGGATTATTAAAACTTCTGCTGAAGAATTTTCCATGTATTTCTTGTGATCCACATTGCTCCTCTCCAACCCACCAGTAATACAAGAGACGCTAAAACAATAAATACATCATCATTTAAAAATGCTCGAAGATCTTTGAATTGCAAAATTAAACAGGGTTTTATTGGCATTAAAAAAGACAAAATTCGGCCCAGACTATTTTATTCCGCGAGTCAAGAGAATTCATTATATCCCTCCATTCGCAAGTCCATAAATGGTCCTTTTGCCCAATCAATAGTATCCAGCCAGTCCAAGTCATCCATGACCATCGGTTCGACATTAAGATCTGATAATGGAACTGTGGTAGAAGTAGACGCTTTGGGAGTATTGGCAATTTTAGGAGGATCAAGAATCTTATCCAAGGTCCTCTTGACTATTTGACGCATTCTTCCACATAATTCATGATTCGCGGCTGTCGGTCTTACCCAATCTAGGAAGCCGACTAATAGACTAAGGTTTTGGATTACTTCTGATCGAGGCAGGTAATAGGTCGGCTGGGCTGCAGGATTTTCCATCTCTTTGATGAGTTCAACGCAGATGACGCCTGCTGATGGAATCCCGTAGCACATGATCTAAGAGCTTTGTTAGCTTCTCCTAGCATAAACTAACAACTGTGAGTCACTACTTACAACCCAGTCGTAGTCGGAATAATAGGTCAGAAAGCGATCTTTGGAAGTCCACATCGAAACGGTTAGCGCCAAGAGTTGTCTCGAAATGTCAAGCAGTGGCTGCTTGTCACCCTTTATTTTTCTGACGAAAACTTGTTCCAAAATAAATGAGCACTGAAGACAATTGAATTTGAGTGCAATCTGTATCCAATGAGTAGTTGTAGATGAATTAGTCGGAGTAGAGCTTGAAAGACGAAGCCACGGTGGAAGCCGCTCTTGAATATTCTCGTTCCGCTTTCGCAGGTCCCTGAGATAGTTAGATGATGAATTATTTTTCGGATCTCTACTTACATTATACGAGCCTCGGAGAATTGGTTGATAGTCCCGAGTGAAATCTCCAATATTTCATCTATGATTTCACCATACATCATCGATGCTCGAATTCTCGAGGAAGAATATATGTTACCCTCTCTGTTCCAACCATTCTCATCCAGCTTACTCGCTGCTTCTTGAAGGGTCTCCTTCCCAGCCAGAAGAATCTCGTCTTCGAGATCAAGTGGTAATGGGCATGAATTATAGCGACGGCTCAAGCCAGGAGGCCTACCAGTGAAAATCGACAACGTTTTATCGTTGACAAATATAGCAGAGAATATGCGTCTCTTGATCTCCAGCGAAGTCGTAACTCCTGCATCAGGGCAAATGGCACAGTGGTGAAGGCCTAGAGCTGTAGCAAGATGAACTTTGTCGCCCTGTCTTCTCCATAATTTGAAGGCTGTATCATTATAATCAGCAATACACTCATCATCATTGACCAGAAAAGAATAAGTCTTACACATATCTCCTATGATCTCACTCTGAAGTGTGTTTGTTTTCCACAATAAACTCAGCATAAGAATGTTACCGATATCCATCTTACTACATATTTCTACGCAGTCCTCAGCACACTCGTACATTTCTTCAGTAAAAACAAGCCTCTCCTTTCGTCTACCTGACTGTGTTTCAAAAAAGGATTCTTGTTCCTTGTCTCGCATCCCAGCAGCCCGATGCCCCAGTACACAGAATAGTATACCCAGAATCTCCCACCTAAAGTTCACACCTGACATTGAGGATAACCAAGCATCTCCATCCTCAGCGTCAGGGAATTCTGTGCTGGTATTTTTGCTCAACAAGTAAGCTACCTCTCTGAGTCTCTCTGGCCTCCTCGGATGTCGTAGACTTTGACCGAATGTGGACCATAGGGATTTCATACAGTGTAGGATAGTAGGCTTGTGGAAAGCATACTCTATTGATTTCAAAGTATAATTTTCCATGAGTGACTCACAAGTAATTTGGTCAGGGAGTTGACTCAAAATTCTCATTCCCAAAGATATTTCCGCAGTTTGTTGACCATTCGTGACTATAGCTAACGTGGGGGGCGTCGTTATCGAACCTGCAGAAAATGTACATTCTCCCTCATCATCGACATCCGACACGAGGCCATTTTCGTTATCAAGAAACGGAGCTGAAAAACTCGTGGGACCATAGAACCCAGGAACTTTTCTTGATGCTGCAGCATGATCTATCAGTGAATCAATAGATCCAGAAGTTTGCGGCGATACTAAGGAGTCGTTTGTGATATCTCTAACGGGATGAGAAGGATTGGATATCGAGTGTTCAGAGGAAGGGCCATGACTCGGAGGATGCACTGGTGGATGCGAAGGTACATATATACAATTTGCCGCGGCACCTTTTCGTTGACACCTCAAACAAATGGGAGTTGTATGATCACAGCGTGTTTTGGCCTTTCGACAAGGTTCACAGGCTTGATCTTTACGTTTCCTGCGTCGAGGATTTGAAGAATTGGAGGGAGGTGAAGTTATCATTGACATTAAAATTAAGTTGAGTTGAAGTGGGGATGAATTGTTTGTGATACAAACCGATAAAATTCTGATTAGTATCTAGGCAGTGATTTTGATGAGAAAATACTATGGAAAAGCGATGTAAGTTGTTTACGTGAAGGCATGGATAGCACGGACGATAAGATTAAGAGCGATCTCGGCGCTTACGACGAATATATCTGACAGCAGCAACGTCATTGTCATAGTTAGGTATTCAGGAAATCGCAAGATATTGCCTGAGTATTCAATTCGAAACATTACCTTAAAGATGTTGTTCAGATGTGTTTTGCCGAGATTCGAATGAAGGGGCATCGAGGTATCACAATACCGATTAAGTTCTAGTATGGTAGCAGTGCAGTACCACCACCATTCTAGAAATTCGCTGGCCAAGAGCTACTTTTAATCAATGCCCACAGTTCGACCTCTACGGGGATGAGGACATGAACTCAAGACATCTAGTGATTACAGACATGTCTTCCTTCACAATTATCAAACAGAATAGGAAGAATCTAATCAATAAGTACAGAAGACATATCTCAAACAACTGTAAAGTCACGGGAACTCAGGGCCGACGACATAGACTCCGACTTTCCACACACAAGAAGAATTGAGGACAAATCTCATGATCTCATAATAAAAATACCTATGTTTCAGAAGCACCGGGATAATAAATAACTTCATAATAAAATTCCACACTCCACTCTTTAAATTTCTCTTGCAATTGTCACTATACGAGTAGTGTTCCTCTAAACGATCTCTCGGCGGCTAATACACAACACTCGTGAGTCTTTCGCGGCTCACCACATCATCATTAAAATATTTACTCGTATAGCATAAGGAATGAATCTTCAACAAAATCAATATAATAAACTCAGACATACAAAAACCCACCGCAAAAATCTCATTCAATACATCATCATCCAAAACCCCAATGAGCATAATAAAAGACGCAATCGACCATCCCCAACCATCTGCAAATCTTCGCAAAGACACACAAGTTCAATTCCCGTCTCCACGCCCAAAATCCCATTCATACAATGCACATCTTCCAGAAATTGAATCCCATTTCCAAAACATACAGCTACCGCCTGCGATTCTCCTCCACAACCCATAATTTCCATAGTACATCACTCCATATTCCCTTCCACGTGCATGTGCATGTGAATCCTTCAGCATCCGAAAATAGAAATCCGGGGTAAGGTTACACTTAACAAATTCTCAGGCGGCAAAAATATTCTCACGAACCGCGTAGGTTACCTACAATCTAGAATTGCGTTGAAGATAATAAATATACTAGGTATTTAAATCCCATTTCCATTCCCCTGTATAAACACAAAGATGCGAGATATATTAAACTCCGCTTCCATTCCCATATTCTCTCTCTCCTTCCCGTACCGTTTCCTTTCCATCTTCTTTCAAAATTCCAGACATCGAATACCTACGTATACCTACCAAGTGGCCCAGTCTGGATTTCTCCCACCCATCCACAAGTGCGTAACGCCTCCGGTCACCTTCCGGCCATCCATTCCATCATTTGCAACGCCTCATCCGTTACATATACATCGTGAGATATTAAAGGTATGTTCTCGCCCTTCTCCCATTATGGGAATTTCAAATATCCAAAATCATCAATCCCATGTCTCTCTCCACATATCACTCCCATCCCGTGCGCCAGTTTGTTTCTGACTGTTACTGGAAAGTAATTTTTCTCGTCGTCGATATTATCATAGAGAAACATCGATAATCCAAAAAAAAAAAAGGAAAAAAAGAATCGAAATGGAGAGCTCCTTGCGAAACACTACGGATTCTATATTTTCCCATGCCCAGGAAATGAAATACATAGATGAAAACATCTTAAACCGTAAGATTCTCTCCTATTCTCACCTCCATCTCCATACCATCAAATCCACATTCCCACTAACTCCCCTCCTAGAATCATCCCAAGCCACCATTTCCCCTTCCACATCCAATACAAACCTCACATCCACATCTTCATCTTCACCCCCCAAACTTCTCAAATCCTCCACATCAGAATCAGACTCAAAATCAACATCACAAACCCCACTATACTCCTCCCACACAATCTCCCATTATCCATTCCCGTCAATTAGATCCGGGATAGCACCCAAAATATCAATCACAACAACCATCGATTCCATGATCTCGAATCATCAAAATGGGAGTATGGGACTTTCGCTTTTGACGCGAGATTTGGTGGCCAGTCCGGTTGAAGATTTTATTTTGGGGAGTCCGCTGGAGGGGTTCATGTAGATTTTTGAGGGAGGGTTTGTTTGCTTTGTGGATATTGGTTTTGGGGGGGGGGGGGGGGGAATTGGAACTTGTGGTAGTGGGATTGGATGTTTGGAAGGGAGGGATTTCTATGTATATATTTGATTATTAGTGGAGGGGAATCTCTACCCGACTTGGATTTTGAGTAGTGGAGCTAGGAAATTTGGGGATGATAGGGATTAAAATGTATAGCTCATTTGAAAATGGGTAACAATATATGGATATCGAATCAACATGTACCCTGTTAATCAATTGCGTTTTCATGCTTCCAACTTTACGATCATTGCGGAGAAGTAACCCTAAGCCCTGTCGCATACAACAACAAACGGTGCCGTGATAGAACCAAAAAACAACCTTCCCGTTTTAGGATCGTGTACGACCGAAGTAGCAGCCGACAGAACACTCGCCTCAATATCCTCTAACACTTTCGTAACCACATATCTCCACTCTCCATCCTCGGTATCGAATTTTCTAATCCTGAAAGCCGTAGCTGGAGCATTGATTGTAGAATCACCCATCGATTTGACCAGCTTGACTATATCGGGAAAAGCGGCTGCAAGAATGTCGCCATTAGCATCTACGGATAAATTGTCCAATGGCATCTGCAGATCAATTTCGTCGATTTGAGTAAATGTATTATTGGCTTCCAGAGCATAGACGGAAACTTTGCCTTTGATGGATGAGGCGACATAAAAGAGGCCATCTTGTCCTCGAACAATGCCATTGAGAAGTCGATAGGAGGGACCAGAATGACATTGATCGTCAGACCCACACACAGCGATATTTCCTCCCCCAATAACCATATCTAATGAGCGAAGCTATATATTTGTAAGCAGAGCTAGACTAATATATCAACGGCATAGATCTACTTACAAGTCCAGTTTTAGTAGAATGATCATTAGTGAAAACAAATCCACCATCTCCGGTCGCGGCAATGTTATTTGGGGTTTTTATGATTGGATTGGCAACGGTCTTGACAAATTCCAATTTTTTAGATCCAGGAACCAAGTCGAAAACTTCCACGGTGGAGTTCGCTCCTACTTTTGTCGCGTCGAGAAAATTGCCAGATTCATCAATTGCTGGTCTGTGATTGACCATCCAAAATCTCAATCGAGAATCAGATAAGAACTCAACATCGAATCCATGGACATCAATAGAGTTATGATTATCCACTCCCTGATACCCTCCTGAAATTTCTAGCGTGTGTAGTCCATAGAGTCCATCCTCTCCCGGCTCATCAATTTTAAGTACAGATACGTGATCTTCCAAGGTTCTTTAGGATACATTGTAAAGATTTCCCCTGGCAATTGTGTAAGTACGTCGTGCATTACAGACGTAGAATGTATATCGACTTACCCCGGACTCCAGCCCCTTCGACTTGCAACTGTCGAACATGCAGCATACAATGTACGATCCTCGTGATCAAGAAAGAGATCTTCGCAAGATTCTAAAAGCGGGTGCTCTACTCGTCGACATGTAAACGGATAATCTTCGAGATTGTTATGAATTCGTCCTACTCCGAAATTGAGGTACAACCAATCCTTCAGGATTGTTTGATACAAGACACCGGAAAGGACAGTCAGTGCTCCTAGAATGATTGTTTTGGAGCCCATTATGTCCGAGTGTGAAGGTTCATTAATTTCCTCGGAAGGTATCGGTATGCAACCTTATATATAAAGTTTGCGGTTTTAGAAAAGAGTTTGTATCAAAATGTCTCGATAACATTACAGAAAGTGTCGTTGGGATTTCCCCCTGTCTGACAGGGTGACAATCCTCAGCGGCTCAGACCCATATTTTACTAACGTGAGATCACTGGTGGATGTAAGACCGTTGCATGTGCATTACTAAGTGAAAGTGATGCCAGAAGCACAAAAGCATGATAAAGTCTACCTACCTAGTTAAATTGATCCTGTAGTAATTTGAACGATTAGTTGAAGCTTAAAATACTATAAATTACATGAATTGAATTGGATTGTAGGTAGATCTAAGTAGATAGTTAATTAGAAACTCATGAATGCACCATGTGTGACATCTGATTAGATAAGATACACGTGACCAGGACGATGATACGAGCTAACTGTTTTGAGTTTGGCGATTAAATTCATCGCAAGCTTTGAAGTTACCCCTTCATCAAATGCATCATCGCCCACATCAACTCTTGTGTCATTGTATCCTGTAGTTTTCTCGAAATTTGTGATCAGGGAATCACTGTAAAGTCTGACTTCAATTTACTGGTTTCCTGGGCTTATGGGCCATCATTCTTTATGAACAACCTGCTTTCGAAAGAAGGATATCCACATAAACTTGTTTCTGCGTGATATATTCACTTCCAAGAATCAGTAAAACGTCATATGCAGCAACAAAGAATAACAGGACAGGTAGGTTGATGGGCGTGGAAAGGTAGGTTTGGTTTGAATATATAAGAAGTATCAAGATCCGTTTATCGGTTTATATTTCCTTCATTCTATTAAGAGACCTATTCTTCCGCAGAACAATCAATTACATCCATTAAAATCGCCCTCAAAACCAATACCATTCTCCTTTGAACTTCTAATACCACTTTCCAAACATCCAATATGGCTAACGCCCTTTATGTCGTCCTTGCGACTATCACAACAATCGTTGTTCTCGTTGGAGGTGCCTATGCCATGGGACTTCTCGATGATTACATCGAGGAATTGGGCGTCTTTGCATTTAAATTCAAGGCCAAGGCTGAAGCAAAGAAGATGGGACTTCAAGGTCTTCAAGAAGGAACAGACTTCCTCGCAAGTAAGTAGCATCATGTCCCCTACATGCTAGACAATTGAGTCTACTTCTTGCTTGTGTTTCCTCAGTCTTCGGACCCTATATAATTGATTAATGCTAATGACATATTTCTGTAGGTGACTTGAAGGGCAATCAACAAGCACAAAATGTTAGAGAAGGCAAAGGACCCATTGGCGGATTGAAGACAAATGGAGAGGGCCTTGCAAATGGGATCTTAGGAGGAGCTGACTCTTGTGGAGATGGATTGGTTGGAGGATTGAAATCTGGTGGAGAAGGATTGACTGGAAAACTCTTTTAAGGATAAAATTTATCGACGGAGTCTCCTTTAGTGTGACGACGTAACGAACTATCGATTACGAATATTACGAAATTTACGCAAAGAAAAGCGGTTGGTTCATGAATGCGGGGTTCAGTCGGCTTGATTAGTTTCGTAAATCAGAAGTCGGCTATGATTTATGATTTGGGGTTTCAGATGTAACGATGGGATGAACTGTACTGATAGAGAAAATGATAACGATATCAAGGCGAACGTAGGACGGCGTTACAATACACAACAATCACAAGATGCAGGAGTTTCCTCCAGATTCCAGACCCCATTACCCAGTGACCAGTGAATCAATGCAAGGCCCCTTTGGACCCCATCGTCAATATTATATTCTCACTTGTGACCCTTTTTCCCCCTTTCAGATGCAGTTGACCAGAAGTCAAAGTCGAGTTGAAAACAACGAATGCACTATTAGTAAAATAACGATCTCTTCCAGTCCAGAAAAGAAAGGGGCTCTCAGGTTACTCTCTGGGTACATATTTCGCATCTCAGGTCAACTTCTATGCTTCTTTGCATTTCCCATGGCAACATTAGGTACGAATTAGAGTACACAAGGAACTCTCCCTTAGCCAACTCATCTTGTCCCACCGAGCCCACTTCCCTCGTGGTAAAAATGGTAATGGCAAGCTTCGAGATTTATCGTGAAATTTTCGACATGCCTGGGTAAACAAACCTGGTGATGAAGTCAGCTTTTCCTGGATATCAAGAACCCCATGTCTTTGCAAGATCAGAAACATTCTCTAGAACGAATACCTAGTACACTTACAACGCCCTTGGTCACCCCTAGGTTATGTGGTGATGAGGGATTCCATTGGTAAGGAAATTTCCTCCCAAATTTGTTTCCTTTTCTGTAACGGAAAATAGATGAAAAGTAAAATTGGAATGTTCCAAAAATATGGATAGATTGATATATATCGTGAAGATGTTGTAGAGTGATTGGGGCCAAAATATCGATGAAGAAAATGTGATATTGAATTAGACTGATTGATTTTCAATTTAGCTGCATTTTACTTTTTTCCTTCTTTCTTCTTACTTTTCTTCCACGAACTTCTTTTCGATCGATTTAATAACATACATCGCATAGCGTGGAATTAAGTTGAGCCTCCCATTTCTTCTTTCTCTGTCTTCATTTCTGCATCTCTTTCCTTCTTCTTCTATTCTGCATTTGAACTCCAGCTCCGACTCCCTTGGTTCTCCGAAAGACATCCAACAACGCAGCAACGCATGACATCAGATTGTGTCCATTGCAGCTTTCCCCAATTCTCGCAGCGAAAAGACTCCAGTTCGCATCATCATCTTACCACCCACTTCCTAACTTCCGGTACTCTTCTGTATGCTCGGACATCATTGTATTGATTGTCCTTGGATCCCGCCCGCCCCTTCCGCAAACTTTCGTTTGAATACGTGGAGTTGATTGGTGATTGGAGAGCATCCACCAGATCCCAGGAAGAAGCATCGAAAAGCAAAAACAGAAACTAGCAGGACCACTGGTGGACGGTTACTCAGCCTGCACGCATCCAAGGGCTTGCAAGTTGGAACTAGGAACTTGGAACTGTACCTGGGTAACTCACTAAATACCACCATCACCTACTCGAGTAAGAGCAATTGTAAGACTACAAGACTGCGAGACTACGAGACTACACACTTGTACCAACTTATCACTTCGTTCCTGTCAAGCCTCGAAATTTCATTCCGTAGATACCGTTCTGCTTAACTAGCAGTTTTTAACAACGACCGATTAACCTACGATTCATTTTCACGACCCCCAATCATTCATTGACCCTGACCGGATTTGGGTTATTATTTTATTATTATTATTTTCTGCAGGAAGAGGGCAAAGTCAAAAGAAAAGAAAAAGAATTCAAAACCCCTCAATCCCTCCTGAAGAACGACAATGAAAAGGTTCTTCTTCCTTTTGATCAGTCTGGAAATATAATTTATTGAGAATGCGACAAATTAATCCACATATCAATCCCAAAGTTTGAATGTTTTGATTAATATGTTTTTATCCTTTATCCAATACATACATACATACATATATACATGAGTAGGTACATCAGTACAGAAATCGAGTTTATCGGCCAAGTCTCTACCTACCTATCGACGCATAGACTGTCGTCATCAATCATCACATTTTCCCATCCCACTTCGAATAGCCTAAACGGAGGAACTTCTCGCACAACATACTAGGTATTCACAAAATCAACCAGACGAAAGATTAAAAATGCAGAGAGCAGTCTCATGGCTCCCATCATGGGATAGGACGAAAACCACCAGTAAGAAAGGTTTTGATAAGACTTGGGCATGGGCAGATAAACTGGGTGCTCCCGTCAATCGATTAACAAACAAAATTGGTTCCGAAGCTTTTTGGCCCGTAAGTTTTCCTTCCTTCTCATTTACATTCTCCAAAGTCTGGTTGTCAGATGCTAATGAAGAAAAACAGACTTCTCTAGACAAGGAATGCGATAAAGCTGCTCGGATTTTGAAAACTTTCTGTAGTGAGTACTTGCGGTCTTCCTCTCATTCCAATTCTTTTGAGTTTCTCGCTGACATGACTACGTCGCAGAGGATGGATTTTATACCGAAGAAGATCGATCATCTACCCAAGCTGGTCCGAATGCGAACTCCAAACAAAGAATCCTGAAGAAGATTCCACAAAAGGTTATTGAAAATGCCGTTGGTTTGGCCATATTCACAACTATGCGAACAGGCTTATGGATTTCGGGGGCCGGAGGATCTGGAATATTAATTGCGAGGAAAGAAGATGGTACATGGTCGCCTCCTTCTGGAATTCTTTTGCACACTGCAGGTCTGGGCTTTCTGGTCGGCGTCGATATTTATGATTGTGTTGTTGTTATCAATAATCGCAAAACTCTCGAATCCTTTACGAAAATAAGAGCAACTCTAGGAGGAGAGATTAGTGCTGTCGCGGGTCCCATTGGAGTTGGGGGAGTTCTAGAGAACGATGGAAACTGGAAACAAGCCAATAAGCCAATATTCACTTATTTAAAGTCCCGTGGCTTCTACGCAGGTGTGCAGGTAGATGGGACGGTTATCATCGAAAGAACAGATGAGAACGAGCGATTTTACGGACAAAGAATTGGAGTTGCAGATATCTTGGCTGGAAAAGTTCGAAATGCACCTTTTGAAACGAAATTACTTATGGAAACAATCAAGGCCGCAGAAGGCAAGCAAGATGTGGATACAAATTTGTTGGATCAATTGAAAGATGAACCATCACCTGGTGATGTGGATTTGCAAGCTCCTACTTCGATGATACCGACCTTTGGCATACCCGAACCAGATGATCCGGACCCTTTCGGGGTGTTGGCATTAGAAGATGCAGGATTTGAGATTCGCGAAGCGGGAACGAAGGCTCGACCAGTCAGTTCGCAATTTGAATACAACCCATCTCCATCAAGTCCGATCTTCACCAGATTCAACAGACGAAGTTTCGACACTCAGGGTGCCAGGAGTAATAGGGAAAGTTACATGTCAGGGAAAACGAGGACAAGTACGGAT